TTGTTAGGGCGGGCCTGGCGTTTCGACCGAGACTTCCTCACCGTTGATGACCCTGAAACTGAAACAGGGGCGACAGTTTCACAGATGGAGGGCGGGTCGTTTTCAAAATGTGGCTCTCGCCTGAGCGCCGCGCACATTTGTCTTCAACATTGTAAGAGCTTCACGGATTGAGGGCGGGCGGAAGGGTTCAGGAGTATAAGGGTGCAACAGTTACGTTGATTCGCGGTGTTGAAATCCCAAGAATTGCGTTTTGGCAGGATTCAAGATCGTCAAGACGCAACAATCAAGTTGATCCGTGGCGTTGGAATCCTGAGAACAGTATTTTGGCGTGCTCCAGGGTCTTCAAACGGTTGTCTTCCAACGAGGCAGTTCACTCAATGGAAATGAACCGTTGTAAGGGCCCATGAGGAGGGAACTTGGGGGGAGGGTTTATTCCAACACCGTTGATGACTCTTGGGTTCACAATGGTCCTCCTCCTCCTCCTCCTTTTCCATCTCGTCCCTCCTCCACTGTATGCCTCTGTTCTCCGCATCAGTCTACAATTTCGGCACACGTCTCACACGCCTCGTGGCCCCATGAGAGAGCTCCACCGAAGGCTTCAATGGCGCAGCCCGCATGCGTCCAGGCCACACATTTCGGCACACGTCTCACACGCTTCGTGGCCCAAGGAGGAGCTCCACCGAAGGCCCCAGTGGCGCAGCCCGCATGCTTCTCATCCACCTATGTCGTCACCCTCCTCCTGACACTTTCGTGGCCCCATCGGCCCATCGAGAGCTCCACCGAACGCCCCAATGGCGCAGCCCGCATGCGTCCCAACCGTTCATTCCGCACCCCTCTCACACGCTTCGTGGCCCCATAGGGAGCTCCACCGAAGGCCCCAGTTGCGCAGCCCGCATGCGTCCCATCTACAAACTTCGGCACACACCTTTCACGTCTCGTGGTCCAACAGGGAGCTCCAACAAAGGTCCCAGTGGCGCAGCCCGCATGCCCCTCCCCGCCACATATTTCGGCACGCGCCCTTCACACGTTTCGTGGCCCCATAGGGACTACGGCCCCGTTGACAGCGCCCCCATGGCGGTGCCACCCCATTACTGTACACCCTTCGCGCGCTTCGTGGCCTCAGAATGAAATCCCCCGAAGGCCATACTCACGACGGTGCTCACAACTGTTGAATATTGGGTGTTCGTCGAACGCGGAAGCAGGGTGAACGGGCGGCGGGGGGTGGGCGGCGGGCGGGAAGGCGGGCGGGCAGGCGGCGGGCAGCGGGCGGATGGATCGCGATTTCAATGAAACTCCTAGAAAGGTTCTCTCTTGCAACGGGATGCTGTTGAATACTGGCTGTTGTGTTCGAGACGGAAGTCGTTGAGTACTGGGTGCTGTGTTGGGGACGGGCGATGTTGAATACTGGGTGCTGTGTAGAACGCGAAAGCACGACGCACCCGCGGCGGGGGGCGGGCGCCGGGCGGGCGGGCGGCGGACGGCGGGCGGGCGGATCGGGACTTCAATAGAAATCCTAAAGGTTCCCTCTTGCAACGGAATGTTGCGTTGATCACGGAAGCACGGCGGGCGGGCGGCGGGCGGCGGGCCGGTGGCGGGCGGGTTCTGGAAGGTTTTTAGCGGATTCCTCCTAACAGTCTTCCACTGACCCTCCTCAGGAAGGAATTATAATGGATTCTTTGTTCCCCCAAAAACCGTCCAAAAACCTTCCGCCAGAATCTTCCCAAGAGATCATTGAAAACCGCTGTCCGGAAAATTTTCCTCCAGAAGGGTTTCAAGTGGTTTTTCATTTCAAAACCTTTTAAAACTGTCTTCAAGCGGATGTGTGGAGGGTTCCTCGCACAAACCAAGCAAAAAAACTTCCTCCGGAAAGTTGTTGGAGGTCTTCCCTCTAAAAACACCTCCCACAAACCTTCCCCCCGAAAGTGTCAAGGATGTTTTTTGGGAGGTTGCTCCCAAAAGCATCACAAAAGCTTTCCTCAGGAAGGAATCGGAAGGGCTCTTTGAATAAATCTTCCCCAAAACTGATTCATAAAGGATTCGAGAGGGCCTCATCTTAAACATCGCTCAGAACTAGGAAGATTGTTGGAAGGCGTTTGGAGGACTCCTCCTTAACATATTGTAAACACATACGTCCCATAAAAACTGCACAGTAATTCTTCTAGGAATATGTCCAACAACATTCATCCGGAAGGTGTATTTGGAAAGTTCTCGGAGGATTCGCTCTAAAAGCCTTTTTCAAACAAAATCTTCCGTAGGAAGGTTTCAAAGGGCTTCTTCCTACACCTTCCAACGAACTTCCTCCAGAAAGTTGCAGCAGGGCGTCCTTAGTTAAAAAAACTTCTGGAAAAGAAAACGTCCCCCGGAAGGTTTCAGGATAATCTGGTTGAAACCACCTTCCAAAACCTTCCTTGATAATTTCAGGAGGGCTCCCTTTTCAAACCTTCACCGAGAAGGTGTCTTTCCGCCGGAAGGTGTTTGAAAGGTCTTTGGAGGACTCTTCCTCAAAATCTTACAAGCATGTTTCTCTGCAAGAATTGTTTCTTAAAAAGGCTTCCCCTCAAAAAACCTTAGAACAAAAACCTTCCTCCGGAATTTTTGTTTGGAAGGCTGACGGGGGACTCCCTCAAAACACCTTTCCTTTTCAAAAGTCCGCAGAAAGGTTTCGGAAGGCTTCCTCCTAAAAGAAGGTTTCAGGAGGACTGCCTTTCAAAAACCTGCCGGAAACCGTGCTCAGGAAGGTTTCAGGAAGGCTGTTTCGAAGAACAGGCCCATCCCAAACCCTTTCTCAGGAAGGTTTCGGGGCAGCTTCGTCCTAAAAACCCTCCCACAAACCTTCCTCCGGAAAATGTATAAAAACCGCACGAAAATGTCAAACAACCGTCCAAGAACCGTCCTCCGGAAAGATGTTGCAGAGTTTGGGTGGATTCCGTTTAAAATCGATCCGAGAAACTTCCTCGAAAAAAATGTCAAGAAGGCTTCCGTGCAAAAACCTTCCAACAGTTGCTTCCTGGAAAATTTCACGAGAGCGTCCTTCTAAATACCTTCGAGATGTTCGTGGGTGATTCCTTGCTTGTAAAAGACATCAAAATGATTTCTTCCGGAAGGTGTCAGCAAAATCTCCTCGTAAGAGCCTTCCAAAAACCTTCCTCAGGAAGGTTTCCGGAAGGCTTCATTGTAAAAGCCTCCCAAACACCTTCATTAGGAAGGTGTCAGAGGGGTCTTTTCATAAACATCATTTAAAGAACCTTTTCGAAGGAAGGGTCCTGCAAAGGTTGTCGGAGGATCCTTCTACAAACTTACCAGAAACGTTTCTCAGGAAAGGGTCAGGAAAGCTGCCTTTGAGAAACCTCTCAGAAACCGTGCCCAGGAAGGTTTCACGAAGGCTTCTTCGAACAAAGAAACATCAAACAACCTCCCTCATGAAGGTTTCGGGGCAGTTTCGTCCAAAAAACCTCCCGAACACCTTCCTCCAGAAAGTCCCTCAAAACCCGCACGGCGATTTTTGAAAACCCATCCGAAAACCGTCAGGAGAGCGTCCTTCTAGATACCTTCCAAACAAAATGCCTCGGGAAGGTTATCGGGATGTTTGTTGGTGACCCCGTGCTTGTAAAAGCCTTCCAAATAACTTTCTCAGGAAGGTGTCAGGCAGGTCTCCTCGTACGAACCTTCCAAAAACCTTCCTCCGGAAGATTTCAGGAGGGCTTCATTGCAAAAGCCTTCCAAAGACCTTCAACAGGAAGGTGGCAGAAGGGTCTCCTCCTGAACAACCATTCAAAAATCTTTTTGAAGGCAGGGTTTTCGGAGGTTGTAGGTCTCTTTCACAAATTTACCAGAAACGTTTCTCAGGAAGGTGTCTGGCCAATTTCTCCAACCTTCCAAAATCCTCCCGCAGGAAGGTTTCAAGGCGGAATCCTCTTGAAAACCTTCCAACAACCTTCCCCGGAAAGGTTTCAGGAGGGGCCGGCCGAACTGCCGCACCTCACTGCGGCTCGCGGTCCTCGTAGCTCAACCTGTGTCTCTCGTGGCTCTGCCGGTGGCTCTCGTGGCTCGGCAGGCGGGTCTTGCAACTCTTTTTGGTGGCACTCCCCGAGGTCCGAGGTCGGAGTCGTCGGCTGGGGGTCCTAATCCTGGCGGCTGTCGTAGCCCTGCGGCCTGTCGTAGTCCCGGGCGTCGTAAGAGTACAGGTCGCTATCGATAAACCTGTCGTATACTCGTCGTAGGCGGCGCGGCCGTCGTACCCTTCGTGGACCGCACGGTTGTTGGCCGCGAGTTCCTCGACCACGACGTACTTAGAAACCTTTTCGGGTTGTTCGGTCGTGCCGTTCCTCATAATGTACTTGGTGTCGTAGTGGTGGTGGTAATCATCCTTGGGCTGCCTGTCACGCACCTCATTCTCGTACTTGGGGTGCCTGTTGCGCAGCTCGTCTTCGCACTGGGGCGGCCTGTTACGCAGCTCGTGCTTGGACGCTCTCGCGAGAGCGGTCGCAACAATGGTAGTAGTGTCGCCGGGCCGAAGCTGTATCACACGCCGGACGTTGTGCCCCACTCGTTTTTGGGCCGCGTCTGTTTGCGCACCTGTTACCTCTAAGCGAGTATGGTCTCGGCATCCTTGCTGGTGCGTCTCCACAGCAGTGGGTGTGTATCATACACCTGTGGTTCAACAGCTAGTGGTTGATGCTGTAGTCGCAGTATGCCTTCTCTGGCTTGAAACGATCTCGAGGTATCTCACGTCGCATTGCTGATGTTCACATGGATCGTGCAGTACTTGGTAGCGAACGTCTCGCACGGCGCGCCGGCCCCTCCTCCCGCGGGTGGTGAGGACCCCCCCCCCGCAGGGGACAGAATTGCCCTCATCCTTCTCCTCCTCCTCCTCCTCCTCCTCTTCCTCCTTCTCCTCCTCCTCTTCCTCCTCCTCCTCCTCCTCCTCCCCTCCTTCTACTCTTTCGCCCGCCTCGGGGGTCTGAGGCAGGCGGGGACAACGCCGAAGCGGCTCGCCGCTCCTCCATCAGCGGATGGACCTCGGTCTTGATGAACTTCTGGCGTATCTCCTGCGCCGCGCAAGGCCGCTGTGCGTCCGAACTCCGAGAGCAGAGCCTCGGGACTCGAGGGGCTACGGCCAGGAACGCTTGCGCAGCGTGTCGTGGCCGCGGCCCCAGCGACGCGCTGTGCCCTGCGAGTGGGTAGCGTGTCGCTCCGCTCCGCGGAGCGGAAGGCTGGCAAATGCTCGCGGCCTTCGCGCCTGGGGGTTTGGCACGTGGATAGCGTGCCGCGCCGAAGCGTGGCTGGCCAGAAGCAGCGGCGCGACACGCTGACCAAGAGTTCCCGACCGCACGCTCGGCAGTCGGGCAGGCCACCTCGGATTCGAACGCGTGTGCAGGCCCACCTCTCTGTGCTCGAACGGACCGACTCGACATCTCAGCGGATCCGCTCGTCACTCTTTAGGGGACCTGCTCCGCGCCTGAACGGATGAGTACGTGAGGATGTTTGACAGTCTGGCGGACAAGCCCAACATTTGGGAGGACTCTGTCCAGGCTTCCAGTGAACGAACCTTTGTCGATCCGAGGGTCCGAGAGGTCTCGACCCCTTCGCTGGTGACAGTTGTTCGTCCCAGAGGCACACCAGGTGGCGGGGGGGAACGTAGGGGGGGGTCCGGCTCAGGGGGCGAAACATCGAGCTGTAGTCGGCGATGTATCGCCGATGGACCACCGATAGCGGATCCGCACCTTCCTGGGCAGGGCTGCCTGCCGGGTCCTCATTGGCAGTGAATGGGCGAATGGGGGTCGGTGCATCCCCTTCTCAGCCTCTTCCTTCCTGGCGTTGCCCCCGAGGCGGTCCCCGGCCCAGAAAGGCCTGCCCACCCTCCTGGCAGGCGCAATCGGCTGTCCCTCGGCTCCTGTCTCCCCACGGCGGGGCTCACCCTGCGGGACACCTCGGCCGCACCCCTCTCCGAGGCCAGCCAGTGGACTGCCCCAGCTCGGCGGACACGTGCAATCTAGGAGGCGGGAAGGCCAAGTCGGGGAGAGGCTCCTCCTCCTCCTCCTCCTCCTCCTCCTCCTCCTCCTCCTCCTCCTCCTCCTCCTCCTCCTCCTCCTCCTCCTCCTCTCTCGCCGAAGCTCAAGACTCAACGCACATATTTTGTACACATCTGTAAGAGCTTCACGGATTGAGGGTGGTTCCTTTTCAACATCTGGCTCTCGCCTTGGCGCCGCGCACATTTCTTGTTAACAAGAACAAGAACTTCACGGATTCCCCTGCTCAGCGTACCAGGAATTCGCCGGCCCAACTGGCCAGGGCGTGCTAAGATCTCCGGTACCTGGTTAACAGTATTTCTAGTTCGCGCGCGCGGGGCGGCCCCTGGGGGTTCCCGGACGAAAAGTACCCCTGCAAGGTCCCGGCAAGTCCCCGGCAAGGTCGGGCCAGAGATGCCGGAGCCCTGTTACAGGGCCCCAGGACGGGCCAAGAGGTCCCCAAGAAGCCTCCAAGACGGTCCAAGAGGGCCCCGAGACGGCCAAAGATCGGCCGAAGACGCCCAACAGGGCCCCAAGACAGCCCAAGAGGCCTCCAAGACGCCCCAAGGGCCTTCCAAGAGGCCTCCGAAGAGGGCCCCAAGAGACCAAAATCGTTGATTGTCATTGTTACCTAACAGCTTTTGCTGATAGGTTTCTGGTATTGTCAAAAGAGAGCATCATGACTCCTCAAGGGGGTCTGGGCGGGTGCCGGGGAGGAGAACCGGGAACAGAACCGGGTTCGTTTTAAACCAACAGTCACACACTTCGTGCTCTTCGACCTCCCAGAACTCCATTCCCGGGCCACATTTTGAATAACCGGAGCCAACAGTCAAACACTTCGTGCTCTTCGACCTCCCAGAACTCCATTCCCGGGCCACATTTTGGATGCCCGGAGCCAACTGTAGGCCACTTCGTGCTCTTCGACTTCCCAGAACTCCATTCCCGGGCCACATTTTGGATGCCCGGAGCCAACTGTAGGCCACTTCGTGCTCTTCGAGTTCCCAGAACTCCATTCCTGGGCATGATTTTGAATGCCCGGAGCCAACTGTAGGCCACTTCGTGTTCTTCGAGTTCCCAGAACTCCATTCCCGGGCCACATTTTGAATGCTGAGGCAGGCTGATGCTGCGGCTGAGGCAGGCTGAGGCTGAGGCAGGCTGAGGCTGAGGCCGAGGCTGAAGGCAGACTGAGGCTGAGGCTGAAGCAGACTGAGGCTGAGGCTGAGGCAGGCTGAGGCTGAGGCTGAGGCAGGCTGATGCTGAGGCAGGCTGAGGCTGAGGCTGAGGCTGATGCAGGCTGAGGCTGAGGCAGCCTGAGGCTGAGGCCGAGGCTGAAGGCAGACTGAGGCTGAGGCTGAAGCAGGCTGAGGCTGAGGCTGAGGCAGGCTGAGGCTGAGGCAGGCTGAGGCTGAGGCTGCGACTGTGACTGCCGTTGCCACTGCGACTGTCATCGCGAATGCGACTACGACTGCGAGAACAGCAGAATTCTACAACTGGATTCTCATCTGAATCTTAAGGGGAATGCTTCCAGATATGCTCCTACACATCGCTGTTAGGTTGCTTTGCCGGGATAATTACCTAACAGCGTTTGCTGATAGGTTTCTAGTAGGGTCAAAAGAGAGCATCATGACTCCTCAGGGGGGTCTGGGCGGGTGCCGGGGAGGAGAACCGGGAATCGTTTTTCGCCAACAATCACACACTTCGTGCTCTTCGACCTCCCAGAACTCCATTCCCGGGCCACATTCTGGAGAACCGGGAACAGAGCCGGGCTCGCTTTTCGCCAACAGTCACACACTTCGTGCTCTTCGACCTCCCAGAACTCCATTCCCGGGCCACATTCTGGAGAACCGGGAACAGAGCCGGGCTCGTTTTTCGTCAACGGTCACACACTTCGTGCTCTTCGACCTCCCAGAACTCCATTCCCGGGCCACATTTTGGATGCCCGGAGCCAACTGTAGGCCACTTCGTGCTCTTCGATTCCCAGAACTCCATTCCCGGGCCACATTTTGGATGCCCGGAGCCAACTGTAGGCCACTTCGTGCTCTTCGAGTTCCCAGAACTCCATTCCCGGGCCACATTTTGGATGCCCGGAGCCAACTGTAGGCCACTTCGTGCTCTTCGAGTTCCCAGAACTCCATTCCTGGGCATGATTTTGAATGCCCGGAGCCAACTGTAGGCCACTTCGTGTTCTTCTAGTTCCCAGAACTCCATTCCTGGGCCACACTTTGAATGCTGAGGCAGGCTGATGCTGAGGCTGAGGCAGGCTGAGGATGAGGCAGGCTGAGGCTGAGGCCGAGGCTGAAGGCAGACTGAGGCTGAGGCTGAAGCAGGCTGAGCTGAGGCTGAGGCTGAGGCAGGCAGGCTGAGGCTGAGGCTGAGGCAGGCTGATGCTGAGGCAGGCTGAGGCTGAGGCTAGGCTGATGCAGGCTGAGGCTGAGGGCTGAGGCTGAGGCTGAGGCCGAGGCTGAAGGCAGACTGAGGCTGAGGCTGAAGCAGGCTGAGGCTGAGGCTGAGGCAGGCTGAGGCTGAGGCTGTGAGGCTGATGAGGCGGCTGAATGCGACTACGACTGCGAGAACAGCAGAATTCTACAACTGGATTTTCATCTGAATCTTAAGGGGAATGCTTTCAGATATGCTTCTACATATCACTGTTCGGTTGCTTTGCCAGGATATTTTTCTATGTTTTTACCTAACAGCGTTTGCTGATAGGTTTCTAGTAGGGGCACACGAGAGCATCATGACTCCTCAAGGGGGTCTGGGCGGGTGCCGGGGAGGAGAACCGGGAACAGAACCGGGTTCGTTTTAAGCCAACAGTCACACACTTCGTGCTCTTCGACCTCCCAGAACTCCATTCCCGGGCCACATTTTGAATAACCGGAGCCAACAGTCAAACACTTCGTGCTCTTCGACCTCCCAGAACTCCATTCCCGGGCCACATGTTGAATGCCCGGAGCCAACTGTAGGCCACTTCGTGGTCTTCGAGTTCCCAGAACTCCATTCCTGGGCATGATTTTGAATGCCCGGAGCCAACTGTAGGCTGTGGCTGAGGCTGAGGCTGATGCAGGCTGAGGGTGAGGCAGGCTGAGGCTGAGGCCGAGGCCGACGGCAGACTGAGGCTGAGGCTGAAGCAGGCTGAGGCTGAGGCAGAGGCAGGCTGAGGCTGAGGCTGAGGCAGGCTGAGGCTGAGGCTGGACGAAGGCTGATGGCAAGAGGCAGATCGAGGCTGCGGCTGAGGCTGATGCAGGCTGAGGCTGAGGCAGGCTGAGGCTGAGGCTGAAGGCAGACTGAGGCTGAGGCTGAAGCAGGCTGTGGCTGAGGCTGAGGCAGGCTGAGGCTGAGGCTGAGGCAGGCTGAGGCTGAGGCAGGCTGAGGCTGAGGCTGAGGCAGGCTGAGGCTGAGGCTGCGACTTTGACTGCCGTTGCCACTGCGACTGTCATCGCGAATGCGACTACGACTGCGAGAACAGCAGAATTCTACAACTGGATTCTCATCTGAATCTTAAGGGGAATGCTTCCAGATATGCTCCTACACATCGCTGTTAGGTTGCTTTGCCGGGGATATTCCGTTCTGGCTTTTTCGGCTTCTGGACGCTCCAAGACGGCCCAAGAGGCCCCCAAGACCGCTCCAAGACGGCCCACGAGGCTCCCAAGACGGCCCCGGAACGGCCCAGGAGGGCCCCCAAGACGGCCCAAGTGCCGCCCAAGACGGACCAACAGGCCCCAAGACGGGCCCAAGAGGGGCTCAAGAGGGGAACCGAGAACTGAAAAATCGAGCCCTCCGCCCCAGAAGGCGCCCAGGAGGCCCCAAGTGTGTGTCGGCCCCAAGAGGCCCCAAGAGGCCCCCAAGACGCCCCAAGAGGCGCCCAAGAGGCCCAAAAGAGGCCCCAAGAGGCTCCAAAACGGCCCCCAAGAGGCCCCAAAACTCGGCTAGCCCACAACGGTGCGACAATATGGGCCGGCGGAATGAGCGAAGCGATTAAAAATGTTGACAAGTTT